TCTGTCCTCAGCCCATGATTACAAAAACCAGAATAGGAGCATGGGGATAAGCCTTGTTCAAAGTTGTGTTTCGGATCACAAAGTATTTTATATCCATTATTTGGTCATGATAATAACCCTGTGGAGTTAGCTAGTCGAAGATTATTATCCCTTGTTTAATTTAGCAAACTAAGGTCCATACATTGGTTTGCTAAAAATAATTAAGATAAACACTTTCCTTTGGGATGATTCTTTCCCTACAGCCAAACTTGTCTCTCTAACTCTCAATCTCACCATCCCAACTGCCTGGACTCCATGCTGCTAACTGCAGCTTAGCCCTTATCTCCTCTGACCAGTCTTAGGAGAGCTAGCTACAGCAACCTATAGATATGATGACTGATCAGTGAGTCAAAATTAGGAGGGGAAGTGCTGTGACTAAGAGCTGGGTGACTGAAATCTACAAAGAGCCCCCAAACCCAAGCTGAGCCAATAATTTCCATACCCCCTACTCCATATAACCCAGAGCGCCTCCTGTCCTTAGAGATACACAGTAAGTGTGGCAGGGGAGAAGAGGTTGGGGGGAAATATATGCATACACTTTTAAGTTTAATCTGTGTTATTAACACTTACTTAAGTCTAGGCAATCAACAAAACAATAAATCAAGCATTTGATGGCTTCCTGAGGTGTATGTAAATGCTTACACTAATCATGCTGAAAATTTAACAATCTTCTTTGCAAGGCGGTGAAAGCTGGTTCCAGATCAGCCTGATTGACCTCTAGTCAAGAGCTCTCTCTACCACTCCATGCTGTTGTTGTTGTCCTTCAAAGACGACCATGAGATCAGGGAGGTGATGCCATGCTAGGAAAGGGTTAATAACCTCTATTTTACTTTTTTGGGGGGAAGTTCCAAGACATTTGAAAATTCCCCTACTGGACATTCCAACTGAGGGAATGAACCCTAAAGTGAAACCAGGTAAAAATGTTTCCCAGACCAGAATGAACTGTGTCTCTTCAGTGGCCCTGTGCCCACTTGAAATCCCAAGAAGTCTGGGTTGGAAGATCCTAAGGTTTTCATTTTACAGGTAAGAAGATAGTGACTTGCTAAAAGTTACACAGCTGGTTAAGTGACCAGATCCTGTATTTGAACCCAGGTTTTCTAATTCCTAATTCAATGCTCTTCCTACTATACCACATTGTCTATTGGCTCGGTCCAACTCATTTCCTCTTTTCTTGCCAATGGCAGTATATAAGGCACTCTACAAATAAGAGGGGAGTCTATCCCTACCCTTGAGGAATTTACCCTTTAGCTTCGTTTATCTTATCCCATTTTTTACTCTTCTTTCCTTTTTCCTGGCTTCGGTTCCTGACACCTCTTCCTCAAGGCTTTTTCTACCTCTCTCAGGATCAGAGGTCTTTCAGGCCAGGGTAATTAGAGTGTAGTATTTGCATAGTCCTGGGATCTCAGCATTCTGGAAATCCCCATGGGTGACCAGCGCTTCCTCTCTGAGGTCAGGGTACGTCAACAGAATGCTCCTTCCCCTCTCCTTCTGCTGTGAAGAAGCCAGGAAGTCAGCCTGGGCAGCTTGCTGAGTTACAGCCTGGTACTTGGCATAGAAACGGGCCCAAAGAGACAACCATTTCCCACTGGAAGATGGCTTAGAAAGCAAGGAGGAGGGAAGATGATGGGGTCTTAAAGACACAGTAGCATGTTCAGAATAGTGGCCCAAATTACCCTATACTATATTGTAGTGGAAAGAGAATAGGGCTTGAAGTTTGAAAATTTGCATTCGAGATCTGTCTCTATCACTTGTGACTGTGACAAAATTTCTCCCCTTTCCCCAAGCCTCAGTTTATTTATTCATAAGACAGGGGTGGTTTTTAAGGCCCTTTTCAGCTTTAACATTTTAAGTTCTAGGGCAGGGGTGGGGAACTTATAGCCTCAAGGCCACACATGGCCCTCCAGGTCCTCAAGTACAGCCCTTTGAATCCAAAGTCAAAGAGCCTCACTTGAGAACCTAGAGGGCCACATGTAGCCTCGAGGCCAAAGGTTCCCCACCCCTGTTCTAGGGTCTCCATTATCTCCAATGTTCTGTTGTCTAAAATCCCTCATAGCCCTGGAATTCTTTTTAGTTCTGATTCCCTCATGCATTGATGAGATCTGACCGCTGCCACCTTTCTCTGTAAAACAGTCCATCTTCTTCTTCTGGGCACCTGGTCCCCTGGAAGGGGAAGTTCATGCGAAGTTTCGAGGTGTTATGAAGCCAGGAACTACAGAAGTTGTAATACCTTTTTGGTGGTGGCAGCCAGAAAATACTGAGGCTTGGGGGGCGTGGGAGTCAACATTCCATTCCTGCCTTTTGCTTGCCTTCTCCCTATGGCAATGTGGAGGACAGAGAATACCACCTCTCAGAGGACACTAGTCTAACCAACATCTGAACAGGAAATCTCATGTATAGCATCTCATTTACGTAGTGATTTAAAGACTTTAAAGACCCCCCAGGGATGGGAACTTATGGGGAAAGTGTTACCTTAGATGACCCCGAAGTTCCCTTCTAGTTCAGGTATTCTGTGTTCTAGGGTCCCTTCTGGATCTGACATTATATGTTTGTTTTAAGAACCTCATCCAACAGCCCATTTCCTTTATGGACAACTTTGATTGTTCAGAAATTTTTCTGAATGTTCTCTCTGAAAGAGAGGAGACCTTAATGATATTTGGGGGACACTCACATAAGCTAGCCTAGGCCTTTTCTCAGTCCCCTAGGATGAGGTCCTGGATGGGGGTGTCACACTCTTTGGAGGCAAAAAGAATAATTTCTCTGAATCAGGGAAGGGAAAATCTGGCCTCCATCTGAATTCTCTAATGGTGACTGTCTAGATCCCTACCACTGGTAGTTGTGAAAATTCTGGAAATTTGGGACAGGCTCAGGTTCAAGGACTGGACATCTGAGAGGATGATCTGTCTCTATGTTCTCATTGGGAAGAGATTATTTACTATATGTGGGGGAGTATATTTGTCTTCTCTGCTGGGAAGTGTGGGTAAATGTATTTGCTAATGAAATCTCTTTAGTCCTTTTCCTAAGACCTAGCTCAATGATTTATGCCACATTTACCATATAATCTTGAATCTTTCCTGAAATAATAAAGAGGGACCTGATCTGGGTTCTAGTCTTTGCTCTCCTTCTAATTTGCTGTGTGACTTCTAGCATGTCCCTTCACCTCTCTGGGCTTCAGTTTCTCATATATAAAATGAACTTGAACTGTTCTCCCAATCTCTGACATTCCATAACTTGCAATCAGGAAACCTAGATACTCCCTTCTCTATCCCTGACTCATCCATATAACCTTGAGTAAATTATTTAATTTTCCCCAGCTCTTACCTTTAAACTGGGCACATAACCCTGCCTTTGTACTTTATAGGATAGTTGTGAAGAAATACTTTAATGAGATAATAGAGGTGAAAGGACTAGGGCCATTGAAATAGAAGGTAGCATTAAATGTCATTCCTTTCTTGCCTCTAGGATAAAACACAAGCTTCTCTTTGGAAGTTTATATATATATATATATATTTTTAAGCCTGTCACAACCTGGCTGCACCCAAACTTTTTCCAATTTATCATGCTTTATTACCCTTACACATTCCAATCAAATAGTTCTACTTGCTCTTCCTCGTTTATATCTCCCACCTCCATTCCTTTGCTGAGGCTGTCCCTGGTTCCTGGAATACTCTTTTTCCTCACTTCTGCCTATTAGAAAACTTAACTTGCTTCAAACCTCAGTTCCAATGTGATCTCCTACTAGACACTTGTCCTGATTGCCCCGGTTGCTAGTGCCTTCCTGAAGTCATTTTGTATTTACTTTGTACATGTGTTACATTTACTAATCCGTGTAAAATGTAAACTACATGTGGGCAGGACCTGTTTCATTTTGAGTGTCTAGAGCATAGTGGGATAGGGCCAAGGACTGAACCTGTAATTTCATTGCCATGGGGAACTCCCAGAGGAGGACACTCCTACCAGTACAAATCAGCACCTTCTCTTTAATTTCTGGTCTTAGAAAGAGTTCTGAGGGCTTGTCCAGAGTTACACAGACAATATGTGTTAGACTCAGGTCTTCTTGGATTCAAGGCCAGGACCCTATCCACTATGACATCCTGCCTCTAAGATATATAGTAAGCACTTAATAAATGCTTATTGACTGATTACATTATGGCAAAATGCATGTTGTAGAAGCAGTAGAAACATAGACTCATGCTTTGTTTAAACTAGAAAGAGATTTAGAGATCATAATTCAACCCATCCCCCTCCATTTATAAATGGAGAAATTCTTTTGAGGAGCTAAGTTCTACATTTCAGTGAAATAAATTTAACCTAGAATGAAAGTTCAGTAAAGGGGTTTTCACTGGGTTCTTCAAGAGGCCCTTACACTATTAATCGGGGATTCCCAGCTTCTCCTGAAATGAGGGAATAAAGCTGGACTCCACTCCCTATACCCCTCTGGAATCCCATCTTACAGGGAAATGATCAGACTCCCCTTACCACCCAAGAAACATTCCAGTGAATAAGTGGAAGCAGAAAGAATGGGAATGAACAAGAGGAAAATGTGATCTGAGCATCTGGAGAGATTTCCTCACCAGGCCAGATGAGTCTGGAATCCCCCACTTGCAGCATACTGGGGCAAAACCAGAGCCTGCTGGGAATAACCCAGTGGAGGAGCTGGGTTTGTAACCTCTGCCAGTCTCCTCCCCCCCCCCAGTTTGTGATCCAAACTCTGAATCATCATCTTTCCACCTTCCCTCAGTAGTCTCCCTTCTTCCCTCTCCAAAAGGAGTGACCTCCAATCTGGGAATTGATCAACAAAAGGTTGTTTAATAAAAGGGAATGTGCTTGTGTTTGTGATGTGTGTGTGTGTGTAAGAGAGAGAGAGAGACAGCCGAATATGGAGTCTCAGCTTAGTGGGGCTGGCTGGCTGTTGTCTCCCTCTATCTCGGGGAATTCCCCTCCTAACTAGAAGTCGTCAGCCTTGTGTTCCTTCCTGCAGTCTCTCAGTCAGCTGAGGAGGATTCGGATTGCAACCCCTACCCTGAGACCCTTCCCCTCTCTCGCCCTTTGAAACTGGTGAGTAGCAGACATTTATTGGACTGGGGGAGAGGGCAAGAAAGGCAACAGGACCCAAGGTTAAGGGTTCTGCTTTCTAAATGTCCCTATCATAGTTCCTCCTGAAATGAGAAACAAAGGCTCTCCCCTCCCCATTTCCAATCTGACCCTTCTCAGTCTGGCCAGTTGGTCATCTGTCCTGTTCCTCCCTTTACTTTCCTCAACTTTCTTCTTTTCCCTCTTTTTCCTATTCTATCTCTTGCCTGCTTCCTTTCCTTTCAATCTTTTTCTTCTTTCTCTCACCTCTTCCATTGCTCCTGGATTTGGGAAAACACAGATTGATTTGGGAAAGTTCTGTTTTACCCTTTGGTTTCTTCTGGGAGAAGGTGGGTTGGGAAGGGAGTCTATGGGAGCTTTGGATCCTGGATAGGAAAAGTCATGTGGGATATTTAGGGATGTTGTACAGGATTTTTAAAGTGCTGCCTTATACTTTATTAAGCATAATATCAAAATGAAAAAATCGGATTCCTCACGCCTGTAATGAAGTCCATTGGGACAGTAGTTAGTTACAAATGATAAAGCTAAGGTTGTTGGTGTTAGTGGCCTTAGGAGGATGAGGTGTTCTTTAGTCTTTTAGTCACTAAGAATAATGGATTTTCTCCAACCTACTAGATGAGAGAGAGCTGGGGTGTCTTTGGGTTGGGCTTATCCTAGTAGATAAGGAGAAGAGAGCATTGAGAGAGGACTAGGCAGGAACATCAGAAGAAGGCTGCCCAAGTGTCTCCATATGGAGGGAGAGGACCCAGCTTCTAATCTGACCTTATTACTTACTTAATATTTCTTCATCAATAAAATGAAGGCATTGGACTCCATTTCTAAGGTCCTATCCAATTTTAAGTCTTATGAGGCAGGAGTAGAATGAGTAGAATGGGACAGAACCAAAGGAAGGTGGTGAAGAAGGGGAGTTGAGGAAGCCAGCTGGGGGGTGGGAAGAGGAGGAGGGGAAGAACAGAGTGGAGACCAAAGAAAGGACACCAGTGGGATGAGAAGTAGAGCCTGGCAGAGTAAGGACTTAGTCTGATGAATTAGGTCAGAACTTTCCAGAATTAGGAAATTAATCTACCCTTTTAGTCTCTCTGTTCATGGTTCCCCAAGGGCCAGTCCTTGACTGTTCTCTGTTCTCTGTTCTCCTCATTCTGCTGCCAGATTAGAAACTGGACAACCAGAAGCGGCTCCCTGTCTTAAAGTGTGAGCCTGCCCTTGTCCCTGCCCCTGCCCCTGCCCCTGCCCCTGCCCCTGCCCCTGCCTTTGCTCCCCACACCTCTGTCTGCCTCAGCCAGAGGAGGGCCAACAGTCTATCCCAGCAGCTGTCAGAATGGGAAAAGAATGGCAGTGTTGGGCCTTCCTTGTTGGAAGGCTTGGGCTAAGCTCAGCTGGGCTGGGTCCGATGGGGGAAAAAGACAGGGAATTTCCCCCAGTGTTTCTTTGCTTTTTCCTGTTCTTGGGCTCCCCATCAACCCTCCAATGAAAAGAAGGCATGCAAGAGGAGAGGCTAGGGGTAGGATGTGAAAACAATCCAGACGGGGAGAAAGGCATCCTGAAAACACGGAGCAACTTCCTACATACATAAAGGGCCAGAACCAAGCTGTGCAGTTCATTTTGCCTATTGATGTCTTTTTTTCCATTCCCTGTGAAAGGTCCAGAGACAAGTTGGACTTGGCCCTCCACAGCTCCAGAGAGAGAAGCTGGGGTCCAATGATAACCTGCATCTCTTCCCCCCCCCCCCCCCACAATAGCTTCCAGGAATAAGAAGCACTGAAAGTGTCTCGGGTTTCAAGAGACAAGAATGGAGAATGGGAATGAGGAAAGAGCACTTAGGACTTGGAGACTTTGATTTCAACCCAGGCTCAACAGTGCAGTGAAGTACTGGATTCAGAAGTAGAAGACCCTAGGGTCATATTCCAGGCTCTACTACTCACTACCTGTGTGACCTTGGACAAGTCACTTCCTGATTCCCGGGCCTCAGTGCCCTATTCTATTAAATGAATGAGTTGAGTTAGATCAGAAGTATCCAACCTGGGATACGTATACTTCTTCTCCCACCCTCATGTCCCTTATCATTTGAAGCTTATCAAGAATATTTAGCAAATGACATATTATCCTACCGAAATTCATTAATCTCTTTTGTCTCTCATGTACATAGGCACAGCAAACTCTAGAATTTATTTCCTTTCATTTTGAATAGGGGCATAGAAAGGGGTGGAGGGAAGCTTACTGAAAGCCAAGGGGTATAGGATAGAAAAAAGATTAGAAACCCTGGATTAATTGATCTCAAAGGAACTTACCAGTTCTTAATAGTTTGTGGCTCAGTCTTCAGAGTGTGGGTCTGGTGAGCTTGGGGATCGGTATGTTGTCTGCCCTGGCAAAAACCCTGGGGGAAGCCGTGATAGTCCTTGTAGGAATTTTGAAAGAGTAGTTTTCCCACTCTGTTGAAGTTAATAATAACAGCTCACATTTTTAGAGGTTTGCAAAGTGCTTTACATACATTATCTCATTTGATCCAGAGATAAGTAGCTAGAGGTTGTACTCCCAGTCCCAGGCTTTGGAGGTTAATTTCCTAACCTGGAAATCCCCTTTCTAGCAGGTGCCTGGGGTAGGGGGAGCTCCTCCTATCCTCCATGCCTCCTTTCCCAAAGGGGGTGCCCTATTGGGATCTTCCTGAAAGTAGGAAATCTGAAAAGATAAACCGGAGGAAAGAGATGCTTAAATGTGGTTGTGGGTGGGTGGACAGAGACTTGTTGGCTGGCTGGTGGGAATTTGATAATTTTTTGTTTGTGGGTTTAACAATGGATTTGCAGAGGTACTGTGGTATCACAGAAAAAGCCCTAGATTAGGAATGAAGAGACCTTTAGATATTATGCTACTGTCTCTCCAGTGTAGAGGACATGACCTGGAGGGATTTGGTTAGGCTGTGAGGTTAAAAGACAGGGGCCTTCCCCACCCCACAACGATCCTACACTGAGGTGATTAACCATGGTTGAAATGTGTGAAGTATCCTGGGCCTGGGTATTTACCTACTCCTGCCTCACTGGGAATGCATAGAGTTAAGGCTTTGGAGTATATCCACACCTATCAATGTATGAAAAATGAATGAAAAAACATTAATTAATAGCTTACTATGTGGCTTACAAACTTTGTTCGAAGTGCTAGGGACACAAATACTAAATCGGATATAGTCCCTGCACTTAAAAATATTACCTTCTACTAAAAAAACAACAAAAAAAATACATTTATTGTACAGCATATATTTTAGCAATACAATGATTTAAAGATACAAATTATGTCCACTTTAAATCTTGTGCACTTGAAGCATTTTAACAAAAAATACTTCCAGTTCATTACTAATTATAATACTATCAATATCAGTCCTATCCAATCAAGGCAGTGCATTGAAATACTTTTGTTTTCAGTAGCAAAATGATGCAGTGTATTTTCAGTATTCCTTTTTAGAAGAGTGGTTCAGTACCTGAGTTTTATTTCAGAATAACTCCACTGTATAGTAATATAATTTCAAGAAATTATTTAGAAATAAATGTGGTATAGCATAGCAAAATTATCCTTTGTTCCTTCTTTCTTTTAAAAATATTATTCTATCCTTTCATTCCAATCAAGTGAATTAAAACAAAACTAAACCTGGAAAATCAAGCCCTCATTACATAGCTACATAGACTGATAAAACAACTTTCCGCATTGACCATGTCCAAAAATGTATGTCTTTTTTTTCCATTTTAAATTCATTGCCTCTCTGTCAGGAGGCAAGTGACATTTTTTATCTTTATTTTTTTGGTCTCATGGTTTACTATTAGCTTAAATCCTGATAAGGGAAGAGAGTACACATATAGGAGTGGAAATTGGGGAAGGGTATTTTAGTTCAGAAAGTTACAACGATTGTGAATGAAATAAGTGGGGTAAAGTAATACAACCTTTCCAGGGACAAAGACAGAGTTGATTCCTAATCTTAGTCACAAACACCTGTCCTAATCAGTCCAGACAAGCACCCTCCTGGTCATACCCTCACACCTTTTACATGAGGTCGAGAGATTTTCCCTCTGCTCGCCAATCCCTTCTTCCTCTGATGTTCTGTGACTTACTGTTTTCTAACAGACTGGATGAAAAATTTTAAAGGGGAGAAGTTTATGTTTGGTTTTGGTTTCTGGTGCTCATCCAGGCTCCACCTCTATCTACTGTTCCTTGGAGGTCCTTGATCACTTGGCTATATCTACCATCTCATTCTTTGGGGATCAAATTGACAAGAATTATTAGCTGGTAGGAGTTCCAAAGGAATGAAGTCAGAATGTGAGAATCACAGAATCACAATCAGTTGACATTTAAGAAAGCATTTGTTGCCATTGTTGAGTTTTTCAGTTGGGGCTGACTTTCGTGACCCCATTTGGGGTTTTCTTGGTAAAGATACTGGAGTGGTTTGCCATTTCCTTCTCCATTTAAAGGAATGGGCTGCTGCCAAACAACACTCCAAATCATAAGCCCCTTTTCATTCAATTGTTTTTGTCTTTGTAGATCCAGGCAACTCAGTTTCTGATCTGAGGGAGGGGGATAATGTCCTTGAGCAGGTTAGAGGTTAGGCTGATTCTATAACCCCTTCCCTCCTCATCCCCATGCTGGACATGGCACAAGATTTGCTAGGATGCATAATTCCATACATCTTGAGCTCAAAGGGATCTCCAAGACAATTTGGTTCAATCCTCTCACTTTACGGAAGACTAGCTTTTGAATTTCTGAAAACATTATTCCTTTTAGCTAAAAAATTGCTTTCAAACAAACACATGGCTTTTCAAAGCCATCAGTAAGTCAGTGAGTCAACAAGTATTTACTAAAATGCTTTTACATGCCAAGTCCTGGTGATAGCAAAGAAAGGCAAAAACTGCCCCCTCCCTCAAGGAGCTCACATTCTAATGGTACTTTTCTTTAGCATTGTTGTCAACAGCTGAACCATGCCATCA